GTTTAACGTGGGTTTCCCGAGCCCGTAGGCTCGGCCAAAAAGTGCCCGTAGAACCCTTATAAACGGGATCGGGTTGGTCAACCTCCCGAGCGAGACTCTGCCCTTCGGCGGAGCCTCGTCCGGGTTCCTCTCTGCTCAGAGGCAGACAGTTCGACCGTCAAGCCGAGAAGCTCGGCTCGATTCGACACTCTCTCTCTCTCTCTCTCTCTCTCTTGAGAGGTGTAGTATACATAGTGTTAGGAAACGTTCATTCTGTAGTTATAGGTAAGGACCCATGACTACTCAATGCGCATGCGTAGTAGCTTTTTTTCATCCTGATAGGAGTAATTATATAGCATGTGTATTCCGGTTATGTTAATTGGTTAGTCTACATATCACCACATCTCCCTGCAACAAAGGAACTTTATGCCCCACCCCACCCTTTTTTTTTCTTGTGCTTCTATCATTTCGTTTCCAGGGTTTCTTTGTTGTCTCTTAATTTCTTAGTCCTCGCTTTAGCTGCGAACGCTCTTATCCATGAATCCACGACATCAGGATTCTCTAATTATAAAGTGTGTGCTATTGGTGACGCCTAATTGGAATACTTATATAGCCTCGATATTCCGGCTATGTTAGTTTGTTAATATATATATCAGCACAATAACAGTGACAAGTATCTGAATAATAATAATAAAAATGTTTGTCACGGTATTAAAAAATCCACAATGGCTGATATATTGCCAAACAAAAATAATCCAACTTATGTTGGTATTGTGGAGGCTGTGTTAATTGATTAAATTATGTGGATCAAAAATTGTTGAGTAAATTAGGCTGCGTGATGAAATTAACAATTTCCTCTCACATTAAAATTTCAGTATTCAACAAACATAGACTAAGAACAAACATAAGATACAACAGTTTTTGAACAACAATGAATGAAATATTTATATAACCAAGAGTTGCAAACAACTGGTGTACAGAGGTAGTTTAAAAAAGTTCAAAAGTCCTTTTATGTTGAGATTGAAAGTTATCAAAGTTCTGGTTTGATAGATTATAAGTTGTTGAACTGTCTGTACAATAATGAGAAAGTGTGTTTGGGTATCATTGTAATTTAATGAAAAATAAGCAGTTCAGTTTGTACTTAAAGTAGAGAAATATTGTTCACGACTTACTGTAAGGTTTACGGAATTGTCGCTCTTTGATTTGTTTTCACTTGTTCCAAGAGAATATTCTGTAGTTGGAGTAAGTGGTTCTTAACAAACTGAGCATGAAAGCGTATGACAAAGATTCGTGTATCAAGTTGAATGTGGAAAACTTGAGTTGATTGTTCGTGATAAAATATTGCTGTGAGTAAGTTTTCTTTCAGGCTGAAATTATGTTAAGGATCTTAAACGTAAAGCCTGGAACTGCGTGACAAATTCAAAGGATTTCGATCGGCTCACTGTCGAAGATGAAAGACGTTTCATATTTATTGCTAGCTTTGGTCACGTGTTAGGCTCACAGAGGCTTGAAAGATTTTCGCGGAATTATTTTTCGTCAGGTCAAGAACTAAGTCGATGTTATTCGAACATGACTTAAATATTAAGTGACCAATTAGAAGTTGAGATTTTCTGAAAATATACATTTAGCTGAATAAGCTCTCTGATCCACTTTTTGTACAAAAATTGATGTTGATAAAAAAAATGGTGGTAGCGGGATGCTAAAATGTAACTGGGCACACCCAATAAGGATCAAACTCACTACAGTCCAACAGTTATTTTGTAATCCCAGTCTGTCCAATGTCAGCAACTGTGGATCAAACTAAGATTAAAGTTGAAGTTTTGTAATTGATCATCACTCCGTAATGGCTTTCTAGTGAGATTTCCTCAACACGACACAAAACGGATTGGATCATTACTGTATCGTCTTTTTCAATAGCGCTATTGAGGAAAAAAAAACGCAAAAAAATGATCATCACATCAAACATTATATTAATACAGGGGTTTTATAAAGTCTCTTTACAATTTAAAAATATTGCAAAAGTAAACAGACAAATATGTGGAAATTCTTACAAAATGAGGAGTAGATATTGAAGATTTTTTAACTATTTTAATACATCTCTATATGGCATCATTAGGTGCACGAAGCACATCAAGACAGTATTAGATTTCTTGCCATGTTCGCCGTAGCATAGCCTATCAAGAGTGTCAATGGCATCCGTGATCTTTTCCTTTAGATCAATGACGTCCCGTATCTTTCTTCGATAGACAATATCTTTAACATAACTCCATAGAAAGAAGTCCGGAGAAATGATATCTGGTGAACGATGTCTTGAGCAAATGTTAGGGGTTCATTTAATAGTACCTCTTTCATCAACAGGATACTTGTAATACAGAAATGCAATGTGATTAAGAACTTTGATAATTACTGAGTATGTAGAATCAATCTGCTTAAGATATCTCATCAATTACTTTTGTAATATATTTTTTAAATTTTAAAGAGACTTTAAGGACACCCTCTAAGTTGACAATAAATATTTTTAAATTTAAGTTTTAAATTACCGATTAAAAAAATTATTTTAGTTATAACTGGCAGTATATACCTACATATAAAATTCTGTGACTTCCGTTAGTCTGTCTTTCACACCCACTAAAATAGCCCTACATTGATTGATCGAAACAATATTTTATGTAGATGTGCAAACAATTAAACGGGTACAAAATACAGATAGTTTTATTTGGGTATGTAGCTTCATAAAATAAATTTTCATTAATTATTTGGGAAAAAATTAAGTTTTGTTATTTAACAGACAAAGTAAACCCATCATTTTAAAAACAATTTAATGATTAAAATTACAAATACTAATTTTAAAACAATGCAATTTCGTTTGGGTTTTTTTTTTAATCTTTTCTTCAAGTTTCTATATATACAAGAATCCAGTTTCCAGTTCACCCTTCGTTTGCAAGAACAATAAACAAATCACAAGGCCAAACACTTCAAAAAATCGGAATTTGGTTCCAGAAACAAATATTTACGCGTGGCAAGTTGTATGTTGCATGCTCAAGAGAGAGAAATCCTAATACTTTATTCTTCGCTGTTAAAAAGGAAAAATAAGTTTTCCTTAAAAATTACTGTTACCATCAAGTCCTATAAAATTAAATTAAATTTTTAAAAAATATTAAACTGTGAAGTAGGGTTTTTGTCAAAGTATTTTTTCAAACAAATCAGCTTCTTCGAATTTCATAGATTGATTTGCGAAATTGAACGAAACGTAGAGTTTGTAAATTTCGACAAAAAAATCTTTGCAATAACTTCAACAATAGTAAATATTGTGACGATTACAACACGCGTCAGTGTTGCTAAAAATTTCTAATCTATAGAAATTGCACTGATTTTTGGGTTTTCTCGGGTGCGTAGTTTCGTACAATAAATTTTAATTAATTTTTCCAACAAAATTTAATGAAAATTTACAAAAATCCTCTGTTTCCAAAACTGAACGAAATGTAGAGTTTGTAAATCTCGACAAAAATGTTAGTGATAACTTAATACTAAATATTGTAAGGATTTTAACACGCTAAGGCGTGTTGCCAAAAATTCTAGTTTCCTATATTTCCTCCGCGTGCTAGAATTTAGTGATTGAAACGGCGTTTTTTCTTGTCTGTCCTTTTCATATGGAATATCAGTAACGAGAAAGGAGCCAGTATTAAGAAGATGGACAAGTGAATGAAAACTGGCGAAGTTAATAAAGGCATACAATTATTAATTTAACGAATAGAACCTCGGATTGACGCCTCACATTTCCGGCCTGATACCAAGAAATGTATTCTCAAGAAATTACTTTTACTAATATGGTAATACAGTGTAACCCGGATATAAGAGACCCGGATATAAGAGAAACCAGGATATAAGAGAGAACCTCTGGTCCCAAATTAGAGCCTGAGTTAATTTATATAAAATAGACCAAACCCGGATATAAGAGAAACCCTGGATATAAGAGAGATTTTCTGGTCCCAAATTAGAGCCTATGTTAATGCATATAAAATAGACCGGATATAAAGAGATAGACTTCTCTTAAGATAAACTTATTAACTATCTTTCTTAAGATAAACTTATTAACTATCAATTGTTACACAAGCAAAATTTTGGTACATCAGACCCGATTTCAACTCATTTACAACCAGGGAAATTACTGAGAAAGCCTTATACATGAATACATTATTATGATTAACAGGCATACAAAGTTTAATAGATGTGAATTCCATCGTGGTACGATCAAAAAATTTAAAAACATTGTCGTATATATATATAAATACTGTATCACCTACATTACACAGGCTGATAGGAATTAAACTATTTGTATGGCTCTCATTGCTAGGATGGAAATATGCCAGCCGGTACTTTTTTTTTTTTTGTTCATCATTTCTTTTGTATGCCATCTCCTTTTTGGCCATGGGTGATCATAACTCTCTCCATCTTCCCGTATTTGGTTATTTTAAGTAACTTTTGACCCTTTCTCATTCCTAGGTCTTGTCGCCCATTCACAAAAACGCGTTAAGTAGGCGACTGCCTGTTTTCCTCTTCTCTTGCCTTCAGCATACATTCTTCAGTATATATTCTTTAATTTTTTTTTGTTTTTTTTTTTTGAACATTTCGCCCATAGAAGGCGGGAGTGCTACGAGCACGCAAGTGAGTTACAAAGAGTGGGAGCAAGAGTAAAGAAACGTGATTGAGGAAAGAGAAGGACGGGAAATAAAATCAAGGCATCAGAAGATGTCGATTGACATTACATTTGAATATTTGAAGACTATAACTGTCAGGGAAGCAAGTACTTCATCAAGATTGAAATAATTATTTTTTGCCTTTCTTTTATACAGAACTCTTCCAGGATTTGTCATGTTGTTTTTTTTTTTGTTTTTTTTTTATTATTATTTTTGTTAAGTTCGTTTGTCAGGATACTTTTGTATTGCTAAACAAATCTACAGAGATTAGAAAGAGGGCAATAGATATGTGTTATATATTTACATTGGACAATTTGTTCGGAGATGATAGGTTTCTCTTCTGGAGAGAAATGTTCTGGTATGACTAAATTACGTTGCTGTCTATTTTTATTATAGAAAAAGATACAGTGTGGTAATAACAAAACCGTTATAATTATATCCCCTTACATGACTCTTTTTAAATACATAGATACTTCTGAAACATACAAAATACCTCAGACCTGGCTCTATATTTGTACTGCTAATCAAGATGATTAAATTGTAATTGATAAAGCTTCCAAAGCAAGGCTTTCCTTGACTTTATTCATTATACTCAAACTGCTATAAGACAAGAGAATCCGCTTACAGTAATATGTTTTTGAAAATTTGCGGAGAAATGCTGTGAGCAACCACTAAATTGAGACTTTTAAAATATTTGCCGTATATGATTTATCATGGGGGATTTTTAAGATTTGCAGGCATTATAGTTCATTTTTTTCCTTTTATGTACCTGGAGAGCATCTGCTGACAGTAAAATAACTGAATAGTATTTCTGCTGTGGTTTAAATCGCGTTCATTATCTACGTTACAATTTTGATAGGAGAAAGCTATGGAAGAGAAATTTATTCCCGCATTTATATTTCCCGCTTCATGGGCATTATTATATCCATGGTATAATAACAATTTACTTCATGGACTGAGTGAAAGCGAGACATTTATACCACTAAGACATACACAAATATATATATATATATATATATATATATATATATTATATATATATATATATATTTAAGAACATTTTAACATTATTATAATAAGATCTTACATAGAATATGGTGATTCTTCTATGTTTCTGGGGAAGTCATGTTTATGGCACCAGATTGAAGCGGGTCGGATTTATCTACTATTTTAGAGGCGAGTATACATTCCACGAACGGTAAACTGGGAGTCTTGGGTTTTCCGAAATTGAGGACAGCGATCCAGAGTTTCATTATCTGAGGAAAATATATTCCCGAAGAGAAAGGATTCCATTGACCTGTAATCTGCTGAGGGAGGCAATCGCCTTCTCTATAACTACGCTATTATTAATTGTATAAAAATAATTGTATACGTTCAATGACGATAAGATTAGGAAAGCAATTATTGCCAAGTGTTTTTTTTTTAATATTTTATATTGAATAAAGTCCGTTTACAAAATTTCAAACGACTTATTCGGCACCCGTAGAAACTAATCAAATGGTTATGCTAATACTAAATTATCCGTTTCCATACAGGAAACATTGGGAATCGCCTGACCAACCAGTCAATACTACTTTCAGTTGAAATTTATTTAAGTCCGCTAAATGTTATGACATATTTTTTTTTATATTGATAGGAGTTTTCTTCGGAATTTTTTGTTTTGTTTTTGTTATTGTGAAAAGTTAACATCTTGATTATATATTTATGTTTTCTTCTAATTACAAATGTCCATTTTTACTGTTGCTTCTGTTGGAAGGCTCAAAGTGATGGGGCTTTTGCCATTTTTATAAAGTTCTTCGTTTGATATTCTGCAGATCCAGTCTACAGGGATTGCTGAAGGATAGATATTATAGGATTCATTTGCTTGAAGTCATTTTTAATCACTGATCGGAGAAAACGGTCGTATACAGATGATAGTTTAGACATTTCTGAACTCAATTCTTTACCCAGCATCGCTTTCCATTTTATTTAATAGCTGCTTTTTTGTTTTACGTTGTCATCTAAATATCAGTCAATATCATCGTAATTATATAATTTCATATCAGAATTTGCAAAAAAAAAAAAATTTCTTCATTCGAAATGAAATTTCAATTCGATGCTGAAAAATTACTGCTAACCGTTTTACACTAACGCCTACAGTAAATATTTATATTTTACCGAGTGCTCACACATTACGGGGTTGAGGGTTGCTGAATTATTTTTTTCTGTGAGCTTTAAGGCTAAGAGTAAGAGGTAAGAGCCGCAATCTAGTAGGATATAGGGAAGAGGTAATGGTTAAACCTAGACTTGAACAAGTAAAAAATTGTAGTAGTCGGGAGGGCATCTTCTTAGGAATCGGTTCCACAAAGTAGCTGTTCGGGTGGAACTTGCTTTTCATTAATAGAATACGGACGGTGGCTCGCCTCAGTGTATGCGGAGTGGTGTGCGTTAGCTGTGTGGGTTGGTGGAACTAAGGAATGTGGCCCGCCAGAACATTTGTCATGGAAACAGCAACGGAATAGCGGAAGGATTGCAACGTTTCGTATGTAGGAAAGGAGTCGCAGACCACGCCATAAGGCAGCTTTTGAAATCTATCGAGACTGGAAAAAGAAAATTGAGCACCCCGTAGCCAATTATGGTAGAAATATTCTTTTTTTTTCGGTCTGATCTGGCTCTTGTAAAGCCAGAGCACGACAGGAGAAGTCAAGTATTTACTAGAACGATACAAGGATTCGACCATTTATTCCACACTTTTAGCGATGGATAGTATATACGGGATCTGGGGAGAGCTTCTGCCTCATTCCTTATGTGCCGCAGCGGAAGGTCATGAAATCAAGTGCGTGTTTGATTTCCTGGCATGTTGATGTCCACCTTAAACAAATTCACGCCATAGGCATTTTCTTTTACTCTGATTCTGTTTCACCCCCAAACAAATCTTGCAAAACCAAACAGCGATAGGGAATGGAGGACGGGAGCAGACCTGACCCTGCATGATGGCGGCGAATTTAGTCATCGGCGCCATCTTCATAAAAGAAGCGATCAGCAAAAAAGAAATTCAATTCTTGGATACGAGATAAAGACGACGACGACGACGACGACGTGGATTAACTGTTGCTACATTCTTGTTGAAACTTCCTAATTTAATCGCCTTCTTTTACCACACGGTTTTATTTATTTCTCTTTCCTCTCGATCTCTACTCGAATACTGACTTAAACCTCTTTAATCGTTTCATTATTAAATTATTTTAAAGATGTTTCTCAAATTATCTTCCTCCAACATATTTCTACCACCTTTGTTTTCTGTCATTTCAGTCTATTTCGTATTATGTCTATCTATCTATCTATCTATCTATATATATATATATATATATATATATATATCATTCTGCGCATATCTATCTATCTATTTCAGTTTATGCGTATCTATCTATATCAATATGTTCATATCGATCATTCTGTCATTGTCAACCTTTTCATAGCTATCTATCTACCTATCTATCAATCTATCTATCTCAGTCTATTTATATCTATCTATCTATCTATCTATCTATCTATCTATATGTTTCTCTCTCTAACTCTCTTTTTCTATATATATATATATATATATATATATATATATATATATATATATATATATATATCCTATCTATCTTTTATCTTTCTTTCTCAGTCTGTTCATATCTATCAATATATCTATCGATATATCTATCTATGTCTCTTTCTCTCTCTCTCTCTCTCTCTCTCTCTCTATATATATATATATATATATATATATATATATATATATATATATATATATATTTGAGTCTATGCATATTTATCGATTTGTTTATCTTTATATCTATCTCATTTTGTTCATATCTATCTCTCTAACTCTCTCTCTCTCTCTCTTTCTCTCTATATATATATATATATATATATATATATATATATATATATATATATATATATATATAAAATGTTCCACAGGGTCAAAATGCTTTTCTGAATGTGAGGCCTGTATTCGAATCTAATGTCCCTTGTCATTAAGGTGACTTCCTGATGTAATTGGCCTGGGGAGACGATCTAGGCTTGCGGCACCATTGGAAATGTATTGAAGTTATGATACCCCGGCTTGACCCTTCTTTATGAGATTCGGTACACGGAATTGTTCGTCAATGATTGTGCTAACAAAAATTCACAAGACGTTGTGACCGAGCTTTTGAGCGCGCTGGCCTCGTTCATACTCTGTAGATTATGCCAGATGAAGAAAATCATATTAGAAAATCTCTTAGAAAATGTAGGCAATCTCTGCACAACATAGTTGCAGTAGAAATGACATGTATTGAAACAGAGGTGTTGAACAACCACAAATATGCCTGAGCAAGTGTCTGCAAGAAAGATTGTCTAAGCGCAATAGAAGACAGGCATAATTGAATGCAAGCGGTCAGTCATTATATGCACACAAACACACACACATATATATATATGTCTGTATATATATATATATATATATATATATGTCTGTATATATATATGTCTGTATATATATATATATATATATATATATATATATATATATATATATATATATCTGATTGAATAAATTACAGACATTTTAATTTTAATAAAACCTGTTCAAACTCACGGTTATCATTCAGTTTATTAATGTTAAAAGATCAGAGAAATGAGCCATAGCTGTTTTAATTTCTTTTATTTGCATTTCCCAAGTACTTTTGATCGTTTCACATGATCATCTTCAAAAATAAAAATAAAAGAAATATAAACAGCTATGGCGCATTTTTCTCATCTTTTAAC